CAGAAGTTCTGAAAGGTCTATTAGCGATGCAAATGTGAAGTAGCCTGCACTTGAGAGGAGCTTAATAAACATGAAAACTAATTAGAAGTTACAATGCGAGACACATTCAGGCTTCAGATCTTGGCTTTAATGAGTCTGAAAACCATAAGGCCTTGGGGACAAGAATTGAAGCTAGCCGAAACCAGTTTGGCTCAGTGGATAGTGCATCGGCCTGCGGACTTAAGGGTCCCGGGTTCGATTCCGGTCAAGGGCATGTACCTTGGTTGCGGGCACGTCCCCAGTGGGGGGTGTGCAGTAGGCAGCTGGTCGATGTTTCTCTCTCATAGATGTTTCTAGCTATCTATCCTTCTCCCTTTCTCTCTGTAAAAAATCAATAAAAAATATATATTAAAAAAAAAATAAAGAATTGAAGCTACCTGAAGCTTAACAGTCTAAATGGTTCAGATGTCCAGGAGGGCAGCTCTCTGCGTTCTGATGAATTTTCACATAGAAACCAGAGTACAGCAATGATTCAGATTGCATAATGGTAGAAATTGTGTGTTCCTGGTTTAGAGACAAAGCATATGGAATTGAGACAAACAGCAAATAAGCTCTCAGAAGTCAACATTATCTGGGTGTTTCAATCTGCCAAATGTGTCATACTGCATGCAAAACTTTTAAAAATAGAAACTGTTACCTTGGCTTTTTCTCACAACCCTCTCAAACAGTTCTTCACATGTGAAAGGATTTTTACACTTAGAAAATGCTCAAAAGTGAATTTTTAGAAATGGAAAAATATGGAAGGTGCATTTTCGGTATAGCATGTTTCATTGTTTGTGTAGCCTAAGAAGATGAAAGAATGAATCTTTTTCTGTTAGAAAGAGATGGGGAAAAAGAAAAAGAAAATGGACTTTTCAAAATCTAGCTCCTTCAGAAGAAGATGAATTTTTAAATGATCAAACTCTGTCTAAAGGGAAAAATAAAAATTTCATGCAATTAGAAAATAGTTTAAAAAAATAGTTTAAATTAATACCCAAGCAGGTGCGTTTGTAACACTTCATGATTTTGTCAATTCCCATAGACAATATTCCAAATATTCTCTTATTTTTCTTTCTCTGCCCCCAAATCTACATTTTGTCTAGCAATAAACTCAAAATAGGGGATTGGTTCAGGTCAGAGAGACTGACCAACATACTTCAGACATTGGTAGCAATGGCCTTCCTGAGCCCTTATGTGGAATAGGAGGTCTATGCTAGACAGAGCTCAAAAGAGGACAGTTTGTGTCTCATAGTCCAAATTGGGTTGCTGTATTTTTGAAGCTTCTAAAGGTTAACTACATGCTGTAATACACTATAGAAAGACAAGACGCTGAATTTTACTGCGCCAGTCAAGAGACAGGCTTGAATCTGCTATTTAGGACTGAGAGAGACAGTACAATTTACATGTGTGAGAATGTGCGAATAATTTCACCTTCTGTTGTTTTTAAAACCACCTTGGGCCATGATTTTGAAATTGAGAAACAAGATCTCCTGGGGTTCCCATGGCAACATTAACTTATCTAACTTCCCTTGTTGTCTGCAATACTTCCATTACTAATCTGGCTTGTAAATATACATTTTAATTATCAAAGACAACCAAGTTAAGAGTCTCGGGCAAATTTCAACTTTTACATTTACTGACATGCATGTTTAAACAAACCTGCATACTGTACTTCTGGAGACTTGCTACCAAGGCAAGTGTGTACAAAAACCTTTCTGTGGTCTTCCTTGCTCCTCATCTCTGCATGTCTTTCTTTCTTTCTTCCTTTCTTTCTTTCTTCCTTTCTTTCTTTCTTTCTTTCTTTCTTTCTTTCTTTCTTTCTTTCTTTCTTTCTTTCTTTCTTTCTTTCTTTCTTCCTTCCTTCCTTCCTTCCTTCCTTCCTTCCTTCCTTCCTTCCTTCCTTCCTTCCTTCCTTTCTTTCTTGCTTTCTTTAAAATATATTTTATTGATTTTTTTACAGAGAGGAGGAGAGAGCAATAGAGATCTAGAAACGTCGATGAGAAACATCAACCAGCTGCCTCTTGCACACCCCCTACCGGGGATGTGCCCGCAACCAATGTACATGCCCTTGACTGGAATCGAACCTGGGACCTTTCAGTCCCCAGACCGACGCTCTACCACTGAGCCAAACCGGTTTCGGCTGCATGCCATTCTTTAGATCAGTGTTTTTCAACCTTTTCTGGGCAAAGGCACACTTGTTTCATGAAAAAAATCACGAGGCACACCACCATTAGAAAATGTTAAGAAATTTAACTCTGTGCCTATATTGACTATATATAAAGTAATTCTCTTGAATAGGAATCAAATAAACACAAAGAAAGTATTTTATAATTACTTTATTATGAAATATTAAGTAAACAAAATAGTGAAAAATTATAAAATTCTTGTCTTGTCTGCACCTACGGCACACCAGGCAACATCTCTGCCGCGGAACAGCGGTTGAAAAACGCTGCTTTAGATGACCCCTCAACCAGTCTCTCCAGATACATTTATAACACGCCATGACTTGGATAAAACAGAAACAAACAAACCTCAAATGGCTCCAGTCCGGGGACTAGACCCTGATGTGGCCTCCATTCTAGACTATACGATGACCCTCTCCCTATCTTTTCTCCACTACTTGTCATCATACATGTCCTGCACCAAATACGTTTTCTCACCATCTTGAGAGCGTACATTCAAGGACCCCCTCCCAGAACCCTGACTCTTCCCCCTTCCTTCCTACAGAGATCTTTCTTTCAGAACCACTATTACGGCTGTGACCATCACCATGTGGCAGGCTGTTTGTAACTGGACAGCATCCCTCCCCTTTATTTATTTATTCATGTAAAATTAACCTTTTAAAAAAATTCTTTATTGTTCAGATTATTACAGATGTTCCTCTATTCCCCTCCCCCCCACCCCGAGACCACCCCTCTACCTAGTTCCCACCCCACTCCAGGCCTTCCCCACTACCCACCCCCCCAACTGACCTCGTCCATAGATATAAGATCTTTGTCCAATCTCTTCCAACACCTCCATAACCCCTTCCTCCTGAAAATTGTCAGTCTGTTCCCTTTCCATTCCCCTGATTCTATTACATTCATCAGTCTGTTCTGTTTATCAGGTTTTTTATTCATTTGATTTTTTAAGTTCACTTGATAGATATGTATTTGTTGTCACTTTGTTGTTCATAGTTTTTTTTATCTTTAACTTTTTCTTCTTCTTCTTCTCTTCTTAGAGAATACCCTTCAGCATTTCATATAATACTGATTTGGTAGTGATAAACTCTTTTAGCTTTTTCTTATCTGTGAAGCTCTTTATCTGACCTTCAATTCTAAAAGATAGCTTTGATGGGTAGAGTAATCTTGGTTGTAGGTTCTTGCTATTCATCACTTTGTATATTTCTTGCCACTCCCGTCTGGCCTGCATAGTTTCTGTTGAGAAATCAGCTGACAGTCGTATGGGTACTCCCTTGTAGTTAACTGTTTTTCTCTTGCTGCTTTTAATATTTTCTCTTTGTCTTTTGCCCTTGGCATTTTAATTATGATGTGTCTTGAAGTGGTCCTCTTGGGATTCCACTTGTTTGTGGTTCTCTGCACTTCTTGGACTTGTAAATCTATTTCTTTCACCAGGTAGGGGGAGTTTTCTGTAATTATTATTATTATTATTATTATTATTATTTTTAAATATATATATTTTATTGATTTTTTACAGAGAAGAAGAGAGAGGGATAGAGAGTTAGAAACATCGGTGAGTGAGATGTGCCTACTGGGGATGTGCCTGCAACTAAGGTACATACCCTTGATCAGAATTGAACCTGGGATCTTTCAGTCTGCAGTCCACTGAGCCAAATCGGTTTCAGCTCTGTCATTATTTTTTCAAACAGGTTTTCAATATCTTGCTCTCTCTCTTCTTCTGGCACTCCCATAATTCGGATGTTGATATGTTTGAAGTTGTTCCAGAGGCTCCTTACACTATATTCATTGTTTTGTTTTGTTTTGTTTTGTTTTGTTTTGTTTTTGCTTTTCCATTTGGGTGTTTTTTGTTTTTTGCTTCTTTGTATTTCAAGTCTTTGAATTGATTCTTGAGATCCTTTAGTCTGCTGTTGGATCTCTGTATAATATTTTTTATTTCAGTCAGTTTATGCTTAATTTCTGATTGGTCCTTTTTCATATTCTTGAATATCTCACTAAGTTCCTCAGAGGTTTCTAGAAGATTCTTGAGTAACCTTATAACCATGGTTTTGAACTCTATATTTCAGTATTTTGCTTTCATCCATTTCTTTCATTGAACTTGTTTCTTTGTCTCTGCATTTTGGCTCCTTCCCTGTGTTTGTTTCTATGTACTGGGTAGCTGCAAAGTCTCCTTGAGTTGATAGAGTGGCCTTGTGTGGTAGGTGTTCTAAGTCATCTGAGGTGGACACTCTTGGTGCACCCCTTTGTGGGCTGTGCACATAGTCTTGTAGTTAACCCTTGATTGCTGTTGGTATCACTGGGAGGAATTGACCTCCAGGCCAAGTGGTTGTGAGGACCAGCTGTGTCTACACTGGAAAATCTGTTGTGCAGGAGACACCCTTATGGGGCAGGACTTGCTTCAGTGGGGCTTTGATGCTCACTGAGTCCTCCTCTTTTTAAAAAAAATTGTCTTGATTTTCCATAGAGGAACTTTCCTCTATTTTATACGTTCTGGTGGCACCATCAACAAAGCTTCCTTGCCCCAGCTTATTAAGAGGTAATCATGCCTAAGTTGGACCAATCACATTCTCTCAGGAAGTTGAATTTTAAATAAATTAAAAAAGGAAAAACAGTGGAAATTGAATTATTACAATGGTGATCACTTGAAGAGACTGTCCATTTCTCCCAAATTTCTGTGACTCCTCATCAACATTCATCAGCTGTTAAGCTCCCTACTTGAGTACTTGATCACATATTATCTTGATTTAGATGCTTGCTATGTGCACATTTTGCTTTGCCAGCTAGATACTATTGATACTCTCTGAAAACAGGCCTGGGTCTTTATTTATTGTATTCATATAATTCAACACAATGTAAGTACTTAGCAACAAATAAAAAATAAACAATCTTAGAAACTCCTTAAGTAACAAATGAAAGACCAATCTTAGAAATTCCATTCTATTAATGTGCAATACACAAGCCGACTTATATCCTTTTGAGGCAAAGTGGTAAATAAAATTTGTAATTGCTACAATTAAGAATCTTCTTGGGTATAAACAGTTGTCTGAAGGAGAACATACAATGACTTGAACACCTAATAGTATGTAAATAATTTTAGCATCAGTTATAGATTCCCAATTTTAGAAAAGGAAAGAGAAAGACATTAGTCTCTGAATTAAAAAAAAAAAAAGGTTTTGGGAAAACAGACCACAAAACAAAAAAATAACAACACACCTTTGTCTTGGGCTTGTGATTTTCCCTGGAAACAAGGTGAGCTGCTTGTCAGCTACCAGATAACACAGGAGGGAATTAAATTGTGTTTGACTAATATATAAATAGCGTAGGTGATTTTCTCCTCTTCTGAAAAAATGGAAGGTCATGGCTTATGACAGTAATTAAATTGCATGCTTACAAAATTCAAACAAGCTTGCTCATATTAAGTTTTGAAAACACAGGCTCTGAATGCACTCTCCCGAACCCCTTACATGTGCTTACAATACACCAAAGAGCTCGCCCACAACAGAATACATATAGTCCCTTCTCCTGATTGTCTTTTCATAAATAAAAAGTTTATAGAAGTCTTTGAGTAGTGTGTTCCTCTGGTTTGCACCTCAACGTGGCACAGAGTTCAGCCATGAGAAAGGAGTGAAAATGCAGACGTGGAGCTTTTCTTGAGTTAACTATAATGGTTTCTGGAATTTGCCTTGAACCCAGACTCGGTGCATTTTCACTTGTTTTTTCCTATTAACTTGTAAGCGGCGGTCAATCAGATTTTGCTTCTCGTCTAACCCAGCTTTGCAGAACATACTGTGGACTTCCCCTGTGAGACAAAAATAGCAACCAAGAGTGTGACATATGACTGGGGAGAGGGGGGATGGCAGTCAGAAACATGGAACATTAAATGAAATGACTGACCACCTAAATTTCACTTTTACTAACAAATACTCAACACAAAACGATGAAGGGAATGTGAAACTAAGTGGGTTTCTTCCACTTCACCCAAATACACCAAGTATAAACAGGCTAGCACAGCAAGCATAGATGTACATTATTGGTGACAGCTTCCAATATTTTGAAAGGTGCCCCTTGTTTGAGTTTTTATTGGTTTGCAAAAATCCCAAATGATACTTTATAATACTCTTCATATAAGTTTGGGGAAAGTCCCTATGCATAGGATTCATTTGAAATACTTTTTTTAAAAAAATAGATTTTATTGATTTTTTACAGAGAGGGAGAGAGGGATAGAGAATTAGAAACATCGATGAGAGAGCATCATCGATCAGCTGCCTCTTGCACACTCCCTACTGGGGATGTGCCCACAACCAAGGTACATGCCCTTGACCAGAATCGAACCTGGGACCTTTCAGTCCCCAAGCCGACTCTCTATCCATTGAGCCAAACTGGTTTTGGCTGAAATACTTTTTTAAAATGAGAAAGTGACAAGAGCTAAGTAATTTTTCTAGGGACTCTTAAAATCATACTCCTGCCTCTGCTGTGGTATAGCATCAAGTTTTTTCATATGTGGACAAACAATACCTCCAAAATGGAACAGACTATTCCTACATTTGAGTATAAGGATGGAACATCTGATTATTTAAAGCCGTTTTGCCTGAAGAAAGATTAGAAGGCAAAAATGCCATTTTCAAACTGTATGTACAGTAGAATAGTACAGTCACCAAAGTACAGACATCCAATGTTTAATCAAACATTAAAGCCTCATTTTTAGAGCTTCTGAATTTTCTCCCTGTAAACAATAACCAAAAATACTTTTTTTTACAACTAATTATTTATTCTTATAGATAAGTATACCTTTCGTAAAAAAATATACTCGAGTACCGTCCCCTCGAACATAAAAATTTTCAGATAAACAGTGCCCTGAAAAAAGAAAATAATTATGAGAAGAGAAACTTAATATTTCTTTAAAAAAAATCTTGACATGAAATATAAATGAGACATTCTTTAAAACACATGAAAATAATTTGAGATTGAATATACTATTACCCCTTTTAAAACGAAGCTGGGTCTTATCATATTTTCCATAATCCCGAAATAACAGCATTCCCCCAGGTTTCAGTAACGTGGACAATCGGTTTACAACACCTTGCATCCTTTGAAAAAAAGCAAGATACGGTTTGCAGAAATCTCTCATATACCACATTTAACTTTTTAAAAAAATATATATTTTATTGATTTTTGTACAGAGAGGAAGGGAGAGAGTTAGAGAGTTAGAAACATCGATGAGAGAGAGTCATCGATCAGCTGCCTCTTGCACACCCCCCACTGGGGATATGCCCGCAACCAAGGTACATGCCCTTTTCCGGAATCGAACCCGGGACCTTTCAGTCCCCAAGCCAACGCTCTATCCATTGAGCCAAACCGGTTTCGGTCACATTTAACTTTCTTAATGATAAAATAACAAAAGCTCAATAAGGCTCAAGAAACCTAAACCACAAAAATAAGGGCAACAAAGACAAAAAATATTTTGTACATAAAGAAAAAAAAGGAGAGAAAAGGAAGATGGCTGCCAACAGGAAGGCAGGCTGCAAGATAATGTGTGAGTGAGAGAACAAAAGGAGAGAGTGTGGACGTGTGGGGAGTGTCTATTTGTGAGTGAGGGACAGCTACACTGAGTGGCCAGATTATTATGATCTCTGAACCCATAATAATCTGGCCACTCAGTGTATTTCCTGTATAATAGAAATCTACTATGCAAATTGTCCCCTTGAACAGGAGTTTGACCAGCAGGCAGGCCAGCCAACTGCTCATGTCCCCTCCCCCTGGCCAAGCTGGCTGGACCCCACCCATGCATGAATTCATGCACCAGGCCTCCAATATATATATACATACACACACACACACACACACACACACACACACACACACACACTGAGTACCAGATTATTATGTGTTCAGAGGTCATAATAATCTGGCCACTCAGTGTATATTCCAAGGGACTGTTGGAGACTGCTGAACTGGGTTCCCCTGATTGGGCAGCCTCCACGATTGCTGAAATCCCTCCCAGAGAAACTGGCTCTCCTGAAGAGACTGTGCCATCTTGAAGGGGAGAATGGCTGTGATCGGAAGCCTAGCCTTAACTTCAATTGGGAAGAATAGGATACCTCCCGGGATCCTACGACCACCACACCCAGAGACCAGCTGCGAACCCACACACACCGGGTCTCGAGCAGCACCAATACATGGACGCAGACGAGCTCTGCACCTCCTCAAGGAAAGGTCAGGTTTTGCCCAGAGAAAGGTGAGGTCTGCGATCCAGGCTGGAGGGAGAAATGTGTGCAGTGGGATCTAGAGGTTCAGAGGAAGTCTGGGCCCCACAAAATCCGCAGACGTTAGGGCCAGCACAGTCTGCAAATGTGGAAGGGAGTCCTCAGGGCTGCTGACAGAAGGGAACTCTAGAAATCAACTCATAACTGGGATGGGCCAAAAGGGCAGCCTGAAGCTTTACCAGTAAACCGGCTGTGCTGTGCCAGGGGGAAAGATGTGCACAGAGACGTGAACAGTCGTGTGCAGTGCGGGGGCAAAAACGTCATGAGTTTGCGCACTTACTCTGGCTCTTTTTTTCTCTCTAAATTCTTGCTTTTGATTACTAAGCCCAGTACATAAGATCACCCAGTTAAAAATGCTCTCAGAGACTGCAGGGGAAAGTTGTTTTTGTGGAACCTGGGGATCAGAGTGGGGAGAAATAATCAGAAGACCAGCGCTGGGCAGTCCATCCCCCCAAACCAGTATGAAGCGCAGCAAATTCTAAATACTGGGTAGAGAGGACTGATAGCTCTGGATGTCAATACAGGAATACTGCCACCCAGGGGTTGAATCACAAACTGATTCTTGTGTAAATACAACCGCAGGCGGGCTGAGTAACAAAGAAATACTGCCAGCTTCAAAACAAGATTGTGGCTTACAACACAGAGGAGCTGTGGATTGCAGGGAACTTCAATACTGTCCTGACTACTTGACAGGAAACAGGCATGTCAAACAATAAGTAGAGGAAGTGAATGACCTTCACTACTGCACATTTTTATTTTTCATCTTTTACTTAAGAAACTAATTTTTTTCTCACTCGATTTTACCTTTTTACTTATTATATTTTTATTTTTAATAAGCATTATTACTACTACTATTTTACCTTTTTTAAAGTTTCATTTTATTTTTCTCTTTATTTTGGGATTAGTGTTCTACATTCTCTTTTCATTTTTCCTTTAGCATCATTTTACTCTATCACAACTTTACCTTTATGCCAACACTCTCTTCCTCACTTTTCCCCTTTTGTTGTCCTGTTTCTCTTACCCTTTTCCTGCTTTATATTTTCCCTATTCCTTCTTTTCACACACTGTTAAAAATTAATCCTACTTATATATCTAATTTCCAATCCCCTACTCCAAGTCCATACACACATCTCTCTTTTCTCTCTTCACTATCCTATTTTTTTCTCTCTTTCCTTTTTTGATTGTTTTTTATTTATGTTGTTTTATTTTGTTTTGTTTTGCCATTTTTTCTCTCTGTCCTATTGTTGTTGTTAGTTTGATTGTTGATTAGATTGATTTTTTTTGTTTGTGTGATTCTCTCTCTCTCTCTCTCTCTCTCTCTTTCTCTCTCTCTCTCCCTCCCTCCCTCTTTTTTTCTTCTTCTGTTTTTCCACTCCTTACTTGTTATTAGTTGTTGTTTGTAGTTTGCATTCATATCTGGGTGTTAGTTGTTTGCATTTTTTGGATTAATTGTTCTATTGGAGTTTTCTCCCCATATAGTTTTCTCCCTTCTTTTTCTTTTCTCTCTTACATTTCTTCCTTTTCTCAATATCATTTTTGCACTCTTTTTTTTTTTTTTTTAAGTCCCCTCATTCTCTTTTCTCTGATGGTCACCTTTATTTGGGGTTATTAGTATCATGAATACATTTGTGTTCAGTGCCTTGTACATTGTGCCTTGTTGTGTTGTATTTTGTGCCTTTGAGTCAGTGCAGGAGAGAGAGAGCTACATAACCAGAAACCCGAAGAGACCATGGGGAGACAAAGAAACAGCCCGCATACGAAAGAAAAAGAGGCATCACCAGAAAAGGAAGTTAACAAAATGGAAGCAAGCAATATGTCAGAGAAAGAATTCAGAGAAATGGTCATAAGGTCGCTGAAAAGGTTGGAAGGCAAATTCAACAATATGTGTAAGAACCAAGAAGAAATGAAGAAGAACCAAGAAATGAAAAATGACATCACTGCAATAAAGAACTTAATAGAAAGCATGAACAGTAGACAAAAAGAAGCAGAAGACCACCTCAGTGATTTAGAAGATAGGAAAAAATACCCAAGCAAAGCAGCATCTAGAAAAAAAAAGCTTAAAAGAACAAGAGGAGAGCCTAAGGGAACTTTAAGATAACATGAAACAAAACAACATCTGCATAATAGGGGCTCCAGGAGAGGAAACTGAGCAAAGAATAGAAAACCTATTTGAAGAAATAATGACAGAAAAACTTCCCTGATATAGGGAAGAAAAAACTCACACAACTCCAATAAGCTCACAGAGTCCCAAACAAAATCAACCCCAAAAGACCGATGCCCAGACACATTATAGTTAAACTAGAGGCCCGGTGCACGAAATTCATGCATGGGAAGGGGTGTCCCTCAGCCCAGCCTGCACCCTCTCCAATCTGGGACCACTCAAGGAATGTCTGACTGCCTGTTTAGGCCGGATCCCACTGGTGGGTTCGGGCCTATTCCAGTAGTCGGACATCCCTCTCACAATCCAGGACTGCTGGCTCCTAAGCGCTGGCCTGCCTGCCTTCCTGACTGCCCCTGACTGCTTCTGTCTGCCAGTCTGATCACCCCCTAACCACTCCCCTGCCAGCCTGATTGATGTCTAACTGCTCCTCTGCCAGCCTGTTTGCCCCTAATTTCACTCCTCTACCAGCCTGATCACCTCTAACTTCCCTCCCTTGTAGGGTTGATAGCCCCTTTCTGCCCTCCCTTGCAGGTCTGGCCCCTCCCAACTGCCCTCCCCTACTGACCATCTTGTGGTGGCCATCTTGTGTCCACATGGGGGCAGCCATCTTTGAGCACATAGGGGCAGCCATCTTGTGTGTTGAAGTGATGGTCAATCTGCATATTTCTCTTTTATTAGATAGGATAGAGGCCTAATGCATGGGTGGGGGCCAGCTGGTTTGCCCTGAAGGGTCCAGATCAGGGTGGGGGTTCCCTTGGGGCATGGGGTGGCCTGGACAAGAGGCCTGTGGTGGTTTGCAAGCTGGCCACGCCCCCCGGCAACCCAAGTGGAGGCTTTGGTATCTGGGGTTTATTTACCTTCTATAATTGAAACTTTGTAGCCTTGAGTGGAGGCCTGGTCCCACCAGGGCAGGCAGAAAGCTGGTTGGCTTCCTCCATTGCCCGGGAAACCCAAGCCTCCCTCCTGCTCTCTGTGCCCATAGCCATCTTGGTTGGGTTAATTTGCATACTCGCTCTGATTGGCTGATGGGCATGGCTGGTGGGTGTGGCTTGTGGGTGTAGCAGACTGATGGTTAATTTGCATATTACTCTTTTATTAGCTAGGATTGGCAAACACCAACAACAAAGTAAGAATCTTAAAAGCAGCCAGAGAGAGACAGAAAGTTACCTACAAAGGATCCCTCATCAGATTATCGACTAATTTCTCAACAGAAACACATCAGGCCAGAAGGGAATAGAATGAAATATACAAAGTCACCAAAGGAAGGGTCTGAATCCAAGAATACTGTACCCAGCAATCAAAATTGTGGGTGAATCAGGAGCTTCACAGACAAAAAAGACCAAGGGAGTTTATCACCACCAAACCAGCAATGCAAGAAATATTAAAAGGTCTGCTATAAAAAGAACAAATAGGAAGCGAAGAAGGAACACAGACATAAAAAATAAAAATGGCGACAAAGAAGTACCTATCAACAATAATTTTAAATGTAAATGCCCCAATCAAAAGACATAGGGTAGCTATTGGGATAAGAAAACATGACCCATATATCTGATGTCTACAGGAAACCCACCTCAGAAAAAAGGACTCATGCAGACTGAGTGAAAGGATGGAAAAAGGTTTTTCAGGTGAATGGAAATAAAAAAAATAAAAAAAAAGCTGGGGT